TTATTTATTTCTTCCCTCTCTTTTTCCTTTTAGTACTCCTATTGTATTTATATTGATATATTTGATGGTGCCCTACAAGTCTCAGAGACTGTTCATTTTTCTTCATTCTTTTTTTCTTTCTGTTCCTTCTACTAGATCATCTCAATGGACCCATCTTCAAGTTTGCTGATTCTTTCTTCTGCCTGTGCACATCTGTTGTTGAGCCCTTCTAGTGAATTTTTCATTTCACTTATTGTAGCCTTCAAATTTAGAATTTCTATGTGGATCTTTTTTATAATTTCTATCTCTTTATTGGTATTCTTTATTTGATGAGACATTGTCGTCATACTTTAATTTTTTAGACATGACTTCTTTTAATTCTTTGAACATATTTATAATAGCTGATTTAAAGTGTTTGTCTACTAAGTCAAATGTCTGGCTTCCTCAGAGACAGTTTTTATGAACACCTTTTTTGCTCTGTATATGAGCCATACCCCATTTTTTTCTTTTTTGTAATTTTGTTGTTAAAAGTGGACATTTTCAATAGTATAATAAGTCTGTATTCTTTGTTATGTGCAGCCACTGACATTTCTGCTTGGTTAGTTTAGTGGTCAGCTAATGATTGGACTGAGATTTCTTAAATGCCCAGAACCAATAGGTCTCTTCCTTTGCTGATAGCCTCTATGTGCATGTTGGACATGACTTCAGTGCTCCGCAGTCAGCTTATAATTGTGTCTTAACCTTTATTTTCTGCTGTGCAAACCCTCAAGGTCAGCCAGAGGTGAGAAGTTAGGCTCTTCAGGATTTTCCTGGACATGTGCATGTTCTTCCAGATTCCCAGGCATACACTGGAACTTTTCAAAGCCTCCATGAATATCTCATTCCCATTTTTTTTTTTTTTTTAAGTATTTTGGTCATAGTCTTGTTTGCTCCAACTGGTTTCAGTGCCTCAGGCCGCTGTAATGTTAAACAGTTGTTGATTTTTTTGACAGATGCCCTGGGTTAGTGCTGTTTGCACACAGAGAGCTCTGAGTGTATCAAATAAAGACAAATTCTAAGAATGGAACTTTACAGGGAGCTGCCAGATGGGTCAAGTAGGGACAATTTTCTGAGGATAGGGCTTTCGCGGAGCTTCCACTCAGTTCTGTCACCTTAATTGGCTGCCAGGCTGCTGGTTTTCACTATGTCAGACAGCTGGTTTTCAAGACAATCACAGAGTTACGGACATGGGAATGGGATTAGGGCAAGTTAAAATACTACAAAACTCACAGTTCTTACTGAGGTTCACCCATTTTTCTTGGATGAATACTTGTCAGATTGTTGAAAGCCTTTTGTTAATTTCCAGAGTTCTGAAAAAGTTGATTTTAATAATTTCTGCCAGTGTTATCGTTCATTTTTGTGAAAGAATGAATTTTCAGAAGTACTTTCCTTGCTGTTCCAATAGTGCCTGTCCTTTCATTGTGGTTTTAGTTTTCATTTCTCTGAGAGTAATGATGTTCAAAATATTTTCTTATGCTTATTCACCATTTGTATGTCTTCTCTTGTGAAGTATCTTAAAGTCATTTTCCATTAAAAAATTGAATTGTTTACCTTTTTATTATTGATTTGTGAAAGTTCTTCATATGTTATGGATATAAGTCCTTTGTTATATATGTGTATTATGAAAACTCTCAGTCTACTTGAGTAGACATTTTCTCATTGGTATCTTTTGATTGACAGAGTTTTGATTACATCCAATTTATTGATTATCTATTTCTTTTTCTTTTTTTTATCTTGTATTTTTAAAGGGGAGATTATTTATTTTTTT